GTAATATAAAATTATTATATATTATTATTATAGTACAAATATGAGATTGTATATTTGAGGATGACTTAAATGAATTAATTTGTACAAGTTATACTGACAACATACATATACATTTCGGTAACTTACTCATCAGAACTTCACAGTTAAGCGTGCTTGACCTGGAGTAGTACAGGGATGGGTGACCTTCTGGGAAGTTTCCCAGAAATTGCACAAGTAAGGATAAAACATGCTAAACAGTGAAATATCATGAAATAAAATCCTTGAAAGGCCAAATATGAGGATTGTTACATTAATAAATTTATTAAAATAAAAAAAAATTATAATTTCTGACGGGTAAAAAAAGGGTTGTAATATTAATTTAGAGGCAGTTGGTGCGACAGTTGATGAAAGGGTCGCAATGTTAATATAGAGGCACTTGGTGCGACAGTTGATGAAACGGTCGCAATTCCAATTTTGCGACGGTTTGTGCAACGGTTCTGATAACCGTCGCAAAATTGCCTGGTGACGGACGATTCTGCGACGGTTCCCAAACCGTCGCAATGTTGTCTTTGCGGCAGTTCTAACCGTCGCAATGTAGGCCATATAACCGTCGCAAAATCGTCATTTTCTTGTATATCATTAGGAGAATAGAAAGAAAATTTTGATATCGAAGATAAGACATATTTATATAGGAACTAGATGAATCTAATGATTAATAAAAAGTCGTGCACTTTAAATTACCTATAAAAGTTGTTCATAGTAGAATCCTTTTAATTTTATTATATGTATAAATAAATAAATGAATATATCTATATTGTTAATAAAGAAAATTAACTCATTTGGTGTCCACATTTTTTGGAACAATTTTGTCCCTAAAATTACTTTTTTTTTTTAAAAAAAAACATTTTCTTTTCAAAAACTGCCCTTATAATTACAATTACCTGAGGGATGCTCGAGGGAAGGGAAGGAATTGAAGGGAATAGGTAAGAATTAATTTCCTAGAAAATATGTAAGAAATAAAGTGAATTTATAGTTAACTGATAAAGTGGGATTAATTCAATAAGAAATAAAGAAAAATTGATATTTTATAATTATTTTTTATATATAATTAGATGTTTATGCATAAATAAATAATATATACAATTAAAATTTTGTCTCCTTCTTTATATTCACATATAAAAATTGATTATAATATATATATATATATAATAGCATATAATTGGTTATGATAATTAACATAATTGATAATTTTTGTTTTTTTTTTGTTCGTTCCTGGAGTATCCACCGCCGGTAGCAGTGACTAATCTCCTCGCTACGTTGGAGGCACCTCAAAGGGTGGGATAGCTGGCCCCAAGATTTAACGCGGCTGCATACACAAGGCAGGATTCGAACCCCTGACCTTGCTTAAGCGTGGATCGATCAACCCCTACCGCTGAACCACACGCTTGGGATTTGTAAACCCTAAATTCTTTTGTCTATGATTCTTAAATTTATTAAGTTGACATAATTGATTATGCTACCTTATAAAAGAGAGATTGTATATTATTTAATATAATATAGTAGCATATTCAAATATGATTAGTAATATAATGCATTACCTACCTAACATAATGCATTATGTTGAGGGTTATACTTGTCTTTCAAGTTAGTTCCAAGACAATCCCCATCATAGAAGGTAAATTTTAATTACCCATTTCCAATTATACACAAATTCACTCTCCTAAGCATGAATTATTTTTTTAAAATACCCTTTAATCCACCTCTCTCCCCTCAAAAACCTCTAAATCAACCTTCCTATACAAGGTGTAAAAGTTGTTTACACTCTCTTATTATTAATTGTTATTTTATTTTATTTTATTTTAAAAATGCATGAAGAGTCTTTAATATACTAATTATTATAATATTTTATGTATTTATGTCAAAATCATAAAAGAAGTATAATATTTATAAAAGATAATCAATGAGATTTATTAAATTAATCTATTAAGTTAATGTTCAATGTATTTACCTCAAAATTATAATAATATAAAAATAACTTTATATCAACAATATTTATTGAAGTTTAATTTTGTATACATGTATTTAGAGTGTGTTTGAAAATTGATGCTTGTAAAACTTCAAAGAAAATTATCTTTGTTTCTTTCACTGAATTATTTTTTACACATATAAATTTATGATAAATAATTTATATTATGAGAAAAAATATTTTAATTATTGATAATTTATTTTATAATATTAAAATTTAATTTATAAATTATATGATAAATAAAAAGTATATTAAATAAGTAGTTAAATGAATGTCCCACGAAGGTGGTACAACTGATAAGTTCCTATACTCTTATTAATTAGGGCATGTAATTAAATGTGACTTCACTTGTCTTTTATGTTCTTCATGCGAACTTGAGTTAAAAATGTGGTAAGCGATCTGTAGTCTCACTAAAAATCTTCAAAAAGAGTGATAGTTACCTTAAGCCTTATATGTAACGACCCATCTTTCTCCTTCCATGGTTCAGCTTGTGACACCCCCCGACTCTTTGGGAGACTAGTCGTTATGGTGATAGCATTGACCCCTTATTCCTTCTTCTTCCCGTAGGACTTCTTGGAGTCGTAACTTATCGGGGACTTCCCTATTCTCCCGCTCTTCAAGCCTTTTTCAACCCTTTCGCCTATGGTGACTATATCGGTGAACAGGGTCGAATTGTTCCCTATCCTTTTATCGTAATAGGGTCTGCTTAAAGAGTTGATGAACAATGTCACCATTTCCTTGTCGAAGAAAGAAAGCTCTACTTGTGCAGCCACCTCCCTCCATCTTTGGGCGTAAGCCTTGAAAGGTTACTTACAAAAACATAAGAAAAACATCAATTATTAACCAGAAGTAATCCCTATCGGTAATGGGTTTCACCAAGTGCACAAATTCGCTCTTCTTTTTGATCATACTATGTTTTCTTTTTTCAGATGTTGGTGCTGCCACAAACACCATCACCTCATCTCAGTTCATCAAGGACCCTGAAACTATAACCTCCAGAGGTGGTAACTTCACCTTGGGGTTCTTCACCCCTCAGAATTCTACAAACCGCTACGTTGGAATTTGGTGGCAGCCCAAATTCACTGTCATATGGGTGGCTAACAGAAACCAACCCCTGAGAGATTCTTCTGGAGTTGTTACCATTTCTGAAGATGGCAATCTTGTGGTATTGAATGGGCAGAAACAGGTTATTTGGTCATCAAATGTGTCCAATATTGGATCCAACTCTAGTTCCAAACTCTTAGATTCTGGGAATCTTGTACTACTTGAAAGCACAACAGAAACCAACATATGGGAGAGTTTCCAACATCCTTCCAATGCAATGTTACCCAATATGAAGCTTACAACTAGCAAAGTTACAGGTGAGAAAGTAAAACTAACTTCATGGAAAAGCCCTTTTGATCCATCCATTGGGAGCTTCTCTTTAAGTGTTGAACGCCTTAGTATACCTGAAGTGTTCATTTGGAATGAAACTCGCCCATTCTGGCGCACTGGTCCGTGGAATCGTAAGGCCTTTACAGGGCTTCCCTACATGACATCATTTTATCTTACTGGGGTACAGATTGCAGATGATGGGCAAGCAAATGTTGAATTCTTTTTTACAAAAATAGAAGAGGTGGGCTTGTTAATCTATGTTCTGAATTCAACAGGCAATTGTGAAGAGAGATGGTGGAATGAAGAGAAGATGGATTGGGCAGTAACATGGAATAGTCATCAATTTGAGTGTGACGTTTATGGTGTGTGTGGTCCTTTTGCGATCTGTAATTCACAGAGCTCACCAATATGTAGCTGTTTGAAAGGGTTTGAGCCAAGGAACAGAGAGGAATGGAATAGACAGAACTGGACTAGTGGATGTGTTAGGAGCACAAGTTTGCAGTGTGTAAGAGTCAACAGCCAGAACACAAGTGCAGATAATAAAGCAGATGGCTTTTTGAAACTGTCAATGGTCAAAGTTCCAGATTTTGCAGATGGGTCATCTCTCAGTCTTCAACCAGACACTTGCAGAAGCCGATGCTTGGAGAATTGTTCTTGTGTAGCATATTCATATGATGCTGATATTGGTTGCATGTCTTGGACTGGAAATCTAATTGATATACAACAATTCTCAAACGGTGGACTTGATCTTTATGTTCGTGTAGCCTACACTGAACTTGGTATCTGCACAATAATTTGAATTAGCTTCCTTAATTTGACCCTTTCTCCAGGGTTAGGACTGGATTATCAATTCTCAATTTTTCCTAAATTTCAGATAAGAAAAGAAACAGGACAATCATCATTACTATTATTACAGTGACAACAGGAATTGCCTTAATTGTCCTTTGTGCGTACATCATTTGGAGAAGGATTCCTAATCACCAGGGTAATTTATCATCATTATGGGTTCAAATTTGCTCAAATGAGTTCTCTATATAATACTGCGGTATATGCACACTATACAAAGACATGCTCAAAATTTACATAACAATAAATTCTTTCAGTTCACAATTTTGTGTTCACTATTTTTCTTTAATTGATTTACTGTTTTAGATCAGTGCCCACTTGTATGTATGCATGTTGTTTCTCCCTCTTGTTAATTTGTGGCACTGTCATTAATCAGTAAGTGGGATCCTCAAAGGATTCCTCCAATTTAATGGAGGAGGTGGAGCACCGGCAGAATATTCAAGTGACAATGTATTTGGAGATCTGTCACAAGTCAAACTCCAGGAGCTATTAATACTTAATTTTGGAAAGCTTGTAACTTCCACAAACAACTTTCATCCATCTAACAAACTTGGAGAGGGTGGTTTTGGTCCAGTATACAAGGTACATTAAATTTAGTTAAGTTACTCATATCTGAAATCATTGTGAATAGTTTCATATTCTGCATTTTTATATTTTAGGGTAAATTGCCAGATGGTCAGGAAATTGCTGTTAAAAGACTTTCTAAGACATCTGGACAGGGTCTAGAAGAATTCATGAATGAAGTGGTGGTCATTTCCAAGCTTCAACACCGCAATCTTGTAAGACTTCTTGGCTGTTGCACTACAGGGGAGGAAAAGATGTTGATTTATGAGTACATGCCAAATAAAAGCTTGGACGCATACATCTTTGGTTAGCTTTTTTGATGCCCCTTAGCATCCATCTATATTGGATTTTCCTTGCGTCTGATATATGAAATATTTTTTAAAATGAATAATATGATTACAGCTAGCAAGTTTTCTTGAAAGCATCCTAATGTCTATTTTCTTGGATTGATGCTAAATTGTTAAATTAAGATACCGTTTCTTCATCTCAAAATGTTAAGAGTTCATATATTTCTACCCTTTGATTCTTTAGATCCATCAAAAACTAAAGTCCTTGATTGGAGAAAACGCTTTAGCATTATAGAGGGAGTGGCTCGAGGAATGCTTTATCTTCATAGAGATTCCAGGCTAAAAATCATCCACAGGGACTTGAAGGCAAGTAATATCTTGTTAGATGTGGATCTAAATCCAAAAATATCAGACTTTGGTATGGCAAGAATCTTTGGTGGGAATGAGGATCGGGCTAATACCAGAAGAGTTGTTGGAACATAGTAAGTAGTGGTACACCTTCATTGTTCAGGATTATATTAGCATACTTGACAATAAATTTTGGTACATTTCAATGTAGTGGTTATATGTCTCCAGAATATGCGATGCAAGGACAATTTTCTGAAAAATCAGATGTCTTTAGCTTTGGAGTTTTGCTATTGGAGATTGTTAGTGGAAGACGGAATTCTAGCTTTTATGATGAAGAGAATTCTCTTACTCTTTTAGGATTTGTAAATCTCTAACTTTCTTTTGTCTTTCTTAGTCCATTATTGGGGTTTTGTATTCTTCTGCTGACAAGACTTCCGAATGTTTAATATTTTTTTTTAATTGTAGGCCTGGATTCAGTGGACAGAACACAATATTTCATCTCTAATAGATGAAGGAATATATGATCCTAGTCTTCATAAATATATTTTTAGGTGCATACACATAGGACTTCTATGTGTACAAGAATTTGCTGCAGATAGGCCCTCTATGGCTGCTGTAATTTCAATGCTTAACAGTGAGATTCTGGATCTTCCTCCACCAACGAAACCTGCATTCACTCTGAGACAAAATATGTTAAGTTCAATGTCCTTTGTAAGAAGCAATGGCCTGAACTCCCTTAACTCTGTCAGCATTTCGGACATCCAAGGCAGATAGAAAACCAAGTGCTCAAGAAATGGAGATTATGTTAATACTACAAAAGGTTGCTGAAAATTAGACCATTGTAGGTGTTACCTTTGTTTTCTTTTTTTGGTCCAAAGGTATACGTTGGAAGGGCTATTTAGAGAGAACTTTGAAGTCTTTTAAGTTCCACTGATCGGAAAAAGTTAGTGGAAAAAGTTCAGTATTATGATGAAAGCATATAAGGATTTAAGATCCATTGTTTGGATAAAAAATAATATAGAAAGGAAGGGAATGGAAGGAGTTGGAACTTGTACAATCTGATTCCATCATTTCTTATGTATTGTATAATCCCTTATTCAGTTTCTATAACCAAGTTATAAGAACCACAACTCTGTTTACATTTATTCATCGATTATCCATCAGATGTAATTAGATTTTCTGCATCGTGCATTCTTGTATCTGCGTTCTAAAGCTATCTAGTATAGAGAAATAGTTTCGTTAAACCTTTGCTGTTGAATTTTATAAATGCCTTTCCTTCCTTGAATGAAAATATATCCGGTATCCCCTGTCGTTTCAAAGTAGATGATGACTTTTTCTACTGTATAATTTAAAGAGTTTCGTTTTCATTATTATTTTTTACCAACTTTTTCCTGCTTAGAGTGTAACTAAGCTTAACTCCCCGATTTCATGGTTGTTAATAAGGGGGCAATGGAGATTAAGTTTTCAATTTGTAACCATCCAATTTATGAAAAAAAAAAAAAACGAAAACAACAATCGCTGTAAAAATATGACAACATTCAAAATGATTGTGAGAAACAAGTGATCTAACCTTAATTAATACAACGAGATGAATTGGTGTTTATAAACTTAATCAAAACAGTAGGACTACCCTAAAGAAACATGTAATATATTTTACATATTATTGTTTCTCAAAATCTTTTATTACTTCTAATTGAAATTTTATCTATAATTATTAAGTCAGGAAGTTGTTAGATTTATGAGATTTTTCTTTTTGTTTAAATTTTGAATTTTGAATAAATTTTAGATAAGATATTTATTATTGTTACAGTTTTATTTTTTATATTTTATTTTTAGTTATTCAATATAGTCTCAACAAATAGAGTTGTTAGTAGATGAGATTTGTTGGGAATTTTAAATTAATTGTAAGTCTATACATAGACATCCTCTTCTATGAATTATAATGATAATTTTCCATCTTCAATTTTAATTTTAATTTGTCTGCAAGATCCAATTTTTTTTATATTTTTCACAAAATATTTCCAACAGTGGTATCAGAGCTTTCTTCCTACAGGTTGTGAGGAAAAGGTTTATTGAGCGCTAAACACATTAAGGTTGAGTGCAAACACTAAATTGAGTGATTTATTATTCAAACAATTTTTGGTATGCAAGGATGTCTACTTCCACCAATTCACCTGCAATTCAATGTTTAATGGTGAAAATTATCATATTTGGGCCGTTAAGATGAAATTTGTTTTAAGATCTCAAGGTTTATGGAATGTTGTAATTTTTGAAGCTGATTCACCACCATTGAGAGAAAATCCAACAATTGCACAAATCAAAGCTTATGAGGAGGAGAAGCTAAATTAAAGAAAGATAAAGTCATCACTTGCCTACATGTAGGACTTGCATATCATATTTTTACTAAAATCATGGACTTGAAAACACCTAAACAAGTGTGGGACAAGATTCAAGATGAATTTGAAGGAAATAGCAGAGTCAAATCTATTAGGCTTCTCACATTGAAGAGAGAATTTGAATTGATGAAGATGAAGGATAATGAATCTGTCAAAGATTATTCTGGAAAATTAATGGATGTTGTGAACCAAATGCGACTTCTTGGTAAAACATCTTTTACAAATCAATAGGTTTTCGAAAAAATCATAGTTTCGGTGCCTGAAAGATTTGAAGCCAAGATTTCTGCAATTGAAGAGTCTTGTGATTTGCAAACTCTCTCAATTACTGAATTGACCGGTAAGCTTCACACACAAGAGTAAAGAGTCTCCATTAGAAGTGATGAGGCTGTTGAAAGTGCCTTTTGAGCAAAGCACAATGGAAGGAATTTTGGAAAGTCACGAACTTTCAATAAGAACAAAGGAAAAGATGAAAGTTCTTCGAGAAAAGGAAAGTTTTTGCCTTATTTTCATTGTCAAAGAATCAACCATTCTAAACAAGATTGTTGGTTTAAAGATAAACCATTTTTTCATTGTATTTTTTGCAATAAAAATAGTCACAATGAAAAGTATTGCATATTAAAGAAGAATCAGCCTGAACAACTAGAAAAACAGGCAAATGTGATTGAAGAAAAAAATGATGAAGATGAGTATTTATTTATGGCATCTCAAGAATTCAATTCACATGAATTGAATACCTGGCTCATTGACAGTGGTTACACTAGTCACATGACTAAATATTTATCATTTTTTACCTCCATTGACAAGAGAATTGAGTCAAAAGTCAAGATGGAAAATGGTGAAATTGTACATGCCAATGGAAAAGGAACAATTTCTATTGCAACCAAGAAAGGTATGATAATTGTTAAAGATGTTCTCTACATTTCAAAATTGCATCAAAATGTTCTTAGTGTTCCACAGATGCTAAGGAATGGTTATGGAGTCTCTTTTAAAGAAAATTATTATTTTATTATGGATGAACATGCTTTAGAGATTACAAAGATTGAGATAACCAAAAATATTTTTTATTTAAAATTTGATTTGGTTGAAGATCATGATTTTATTGTTAAAATTGATGAGAGTAATGTTTGGCATGGAAGATTTGGTCACACTTTTATACAAGATGTATTTGATATGACAAATCCCAACAAATGGTATTCAAAGACAAGAGGAGGAGTTAGATTGAACAACTATGAAGACAATGATTTGGGTCAAGAAATTGATGTGCAACAACTTGATGACATGGCATTTGAAAACTTAATTTTTGGATTTCATGAAACTAAAATTTGTGATATTCATGGAAAATCTCAAGGAAGAGTGTTAGATTTATGAGATTTTCCTTTATTTAAATTTTGAATTTTCAATAAATTTTAGATAAGATATTTGTTATTGTTACAGTTTTATTTTTTATATTTTATTTTCATTTATTCAATATAATCTCAACAAGTAAAGTTGTTAGTAGATGAGATTTGTTAGAAATTTTAAATTAATGGTAAACCTATACATATATAGGCATCCTCTTCTATGAATTATAATGATAATTTTCCATCTTCAATTTAAATTTGTCTGAAAGATCCAATTTTTCTATATTTTTCACAAAATATTTTCAATAGAAGTAAACCTTATGAAAGGAATGCCCAAATAAAAAACACTTCAGAGTTCAAACTTCTACCTAAATAGTCAATCCAATGTATACCTTCTGACAAAAAAGAAGGGTCTACCTACAATGTTCTAATTTCTTACAACCTTTCTATTATTAACATAATCTTCATTGCCTCCATATACCTTTCTCAAAGCACTTTGTTCTCTATCTTCCTTGAATGCTTGAAATGCTAACAATTGCAAAGGACATTGATCTTAACATATTATGCCTTAGGGTGAACGCAGGTTTTGTTGGAGGAGGAAGATTCATAATCTCACTTTGAAGCATAGAAATTACAGTAGCCATAGTGGGCCTTTCTGCAACAAATTCTTGCACACATAGAAGTCCTATGTGTATGCACCTCAAAATATCTTTATGAAGACTAGGATCATATATTCTTGGATCTATTATAGATAATATATTATTTTCCATCCACCGCATCCAAACCTACAATGAGAAAAAAATATATTAAACAGTCGGAATGTTTTATCTGTAGTAGGCTACAAAAGCCTTATAATGAGCTAAGAAAAATTTGAGACTTACAAATCCTAAAAGGGTCAAAAAATTCTCGCTGTCATAGAAGCTTGAATTTCGTCTTCCACTAACAATCTCCAGCAGCAAAACTCCAAAGCTAAAGACATCTGATTTCTCAGAAAATAGTCCTTGCATTGCGTATTCAGGAGACATATAACCACTGTATTAAAATGTACAAGAATTTATTAATCAAGTATGCTACCATAATATAGGACAAAGAAGTTGTTCTTACTATGTTCCAACAACTCTTCTAGTATTAGCCTGATCCTCATTTCCACCAAAGATTCTAGCCATACCAAAGTCGGATATTTTCGGATTTAACTCCTCATCTAGCAAGATGTTACTTGCCTTCAAGTCCCTGTGGATGATTTTTAGCCTGGAATCTCTATGAAGATAAAGCATTCCTCGAGCCACTCCTTCTATTATGCTAAAGCGTTTTCTCCAATCAAGGACTATATTTTTCGTCAGATCTAAAGAATCAAAAGGTGAAATTATATGAATTCTTACATTTCAAGACCAATCAATGTCCTCTAAATTCCACAGTTTAATATGATTTTAAGAAAACCAACATTAGTATGCTTTTACTAAGGCAGTAAAACTTTTTTTTTTATTTTTTACTGCCATAATTAATTATGGTTGCTTATATTAGTGGGTAAAGTTCTATTGTAATTATGTTTTCTTAGTCCAATAGATAATATCCTGCTAGGTATTTGATTTTAGGCAAATCTACACACTTAATGATGGTGGGGACATGTGTTTTACTGATAACATTTATGGACTCTATGTATGACTGTCATTTTTATGTATTTGCCTTATATATGAATGAAAAACATGCAGAATGGTATGGTTATCCAGTAAATACAAAATTGCTTTGTTCCATAACCTTTCCTCTTCTCTGTTTTATGGTTTTGTATGGTTTTTATGTTTTATGCTTCTGCTGCCCATTGCATGGATTCAAAGTGGTATCAAGAGCATTGTTCTTATAGGTTGTGGGTCTGAAAAAAATTGAGAGGAGAGATTAAACACTTATGAGTGAGTGATAGAATGGCTTTGGGGAATAATGGTGTATATTTTATGTTCCTCAATTTTCTGGGGAAAACTATCACATATGGATTGTCAAAATGAGATCATGTTTGAAGTCTTTTGGCTTATGGGAGTATGTAGATGAAGATAAGCAAGTTTCACCATTGAGAACTAATCCTACCATAGCTCAAATGAAGCAACATGTGAAGGAGATTTTAAAGAAGGAAAAAGTTGTTTTTACATTCAACTTTGACAAATGATGTTTTTACAAGCATTATGCATCTAGAAACAACAAAACATATATGGGACGAGTTGAACGAAAGGTATACCGGTGATGAATGAGTGAGATTCATCAAACTATTGACTCTTAAAAGAGAGTTTGAAATACTGAAAATGAAGGAAAGTGAATCAGTCAAGGAGTACACTTCAAACCTATCTCACTTGGTGAACCCAATGAGATTGTATGGTGAGCTTGCCCATGACCACAAGGTAGTCGAAAAAATGTTGATCAGTCTACCCATAAAATTTGAAGCCAAAGTTGTTGCCATTGAAGAGTCATGTGATCTTAAGAAACTAACCATTTCCGAAATGGTCAGTAAATTGCAAGATCATGAACAAAGATTCTCCATGAGAATGGATGATGTAAGTGAAGGTGCATTTCAAGCAAGACACAAGGGAAAGCAAGCTGGTTAGAAAAATCAAAAGAAACATAATTATAAAGCAGCTGGTGACCAAAAGGGGAAAACCAAGATGGATGGGAGTAATGAATCTGCAACAAAAAACCATTTTCCTCCTTGTTCCACATGAAAAAGAACAAACCACTTGTTGAAAGATTGTTGGCATAAGGGGAAGCCTCAAATCCAATGTAACATTTTCAAGAAGTGGGGACATAGAGAGAGGTACTACAGATTCAGGCATAACCAATCTCAAACACAACATGCACATCAAGTTAACTTCACCGATCAGCAACTCCAAGATGAAGAACAATTGTTTATGGCTACTTAAACAAGTAGTTTATGTTCAAATGATGTATGGTATGTTGATAGTGGGTGCACAAACCACATGGCAAGGGACTCAAGTCTCAGTACTACTTTGGATAAGGCTTTCCAAACCAAAGTTAAGCTTGGAAATGGAGATATTGTACAAGCTGAAGGAAGAGGTATAGTTTTTGTTCACACTAGCAAAGGTCATAAATTTATTCATGATGTTTTGTTTATTCTTGATTTGGATCAGAATTTGCAAAGTGTTCCTCAACTAATGAAGAAATGTTATTCTCTTTCATTTAAAAATAATTGTTGCATCATATTGGATTCAAGTGATTATGAAGTTATTAAGGTTGAAATGTGTGATAATAACTTTCCAATCAATTTGAATCAAGTGAATGAATCAGCTCTTGTTTCCAAGCATAATGATTCTTTTTTATGGCACAAAAGATATGGTCACTTTAATATGGGTGCATTAAATTTTTTGCAAACTCATGATATGGTGAGAGACATGCCTATGATGGGTATTATTGATGATTTATGTGATGCTTGTCAATTGGGAAAAATGCATAGAAAGTCTTTTTCATCAACAAATGTCACACGAGCAAAGAAAAAATTGGAACTTATTCACACTGATTTGTGTGATCCAATGAATGTTCCTTCTCTTAGCCAAAGCAAATATTTTCTTCTGTTGATTGATGATTTGACAAGAATTACATGGATGTATTTTTTATCAAGCAAAACTCAAACTTTTGATCACTTTAAAAAGTTGAGAGCCATGGTGGAGTCTTAAAGTGGCTACAAAATTAAAATGTTGAGATCTGACAATGGGAAGGAGTATACATCTAATGAGTTTAATGCATTTTGTGAAGATTTGGGCATTATTCGTCAATTGACAATAAGTTATACTCCTAAACAAAATGGAGTTTCTGAGAGAAAAAATAGAACATTTATGGAGATGGAAAGATGTTTAATTGTTGAAAAGAAATTGCCAAAATGTTTTTGGGTTGAAGCTGTTTATAGAGTTGTGTATCTCTTGAATAGGCTGCCAACAAGAGCTGTTCAAGAAAAAAACCAATTGAAGCTTGGAATGGAATGAAACCCACTGCCAAACACCTGAAGATTTTTGGATCTATTTTCTATACTCATATTACAGTAGCAAAAAGATCCAAATTAGATGACAAAGCTGAAATGGGGATTTTCTTAGGCTATGCTGCAAACTCCAAAGGTTCCCAGGTGTACAATATGAGGTCAAAACAGATTGTGATCAGTAGGGATATTCAAATTGATGAGAATCCATACTGGAATTGCGAAAATAATGAAGTTCAAAGGAGCACAAAAATAGAACAATTCTTGGATGTTAAATCTACCTTTTTAAATGGAGTGTTACAAGAAGAAATATATGTTGAATAGCCTACTAGTTTTATTGTTGTAGGTCGTGAAGAAAATGTTTATAAGCTTTATAAAGTCTTGTATGGGCTGAAACAGGCTCCAAGCGCTTGGTATAGCAGAATTGATTCTCATTTTTTGCAAAATGATTTCAGGAGGAGCCAAAGAAAGATTGTGGCAATGGAAAGAAAATTGTGGTTTCACTTTATGTTGATGATTTGTTGATTACAGGTGATAATGTTGATTAAATTGAAGAGTTTAAAATCAGCATGTTGTAGGTTTTTGATTGACAAATCTTGGAATGATGAGTTATTTTTGGGGATGGAAGTGCATTAGATTGATGATGGAATTTTTCTCTCACAGAAAAAATATGCAAATGACATGCTGAAAAAATTCAAAATGGAGAATTGTAATCCTGTTTCAACTCCACTTGCTATCAATGAAAAGCTTTCTAAGGCTGATGGTGATGCAAAGGTAGATGTGACTCAATATAGAAGTTTGGTTGGTAGTCTTCTTTATCTGACTACAACTAGACCAGATTTGATGTTCTGTAGTAGTTTACTTTCAAGATTCATGCATTCACCAAGTTTAACACACTTTGGTGTAGGCAAAAGAGTGTTGAGATACTTGAAAGTTACTGTTGATTTTGGTATTTGGTATAGTAAAAGTGATGGAAAGGTTGAAGGTTTTGTTGATAGTGATTGGGTTGGATCTATTGATGACTTTAAAAGCACAACGGGATATGTTTTTTCACTTGGTAGTGGAGTATTTTCATGGAACTCTAAGAAGCAAGATGTGGTTGCTCAATCCTTTGCTGAGACTGAATATGTAGCAGCAGCAACAACCCCAAATCAAGCTATATGGGTCAGGAAAGTCTTGATAGATTTGAGTCATGTGCAAGTGAAACCTATTGTGTTATGGTGTGATAACAAGTCAGCCATTTCAATTGCAAAAAATCCAATTCAACATGGAAGAACCAAGCATATCAATGTCAAATTTTATGTTATAAGGGAAACTGGGAAGAATGGAGATGTTCAGTTGATGTTTTGCAGGTATGAGGAGCAATTGGCAGACATACTCACTAAGGCCCTTCCAAGTGCTAAGTTTAATGAGCTAAGAAGCACGTTGGAAGTCTTTAAGAAAAGTTTTAAGGAGTGTTAAGGCAGTAAAACTTTTCCTTTATTTTTTAGTGCTATAATTAATTATGGTTTCTTTTATTAATGGGTAAAGTTTTACTCTAATTATGTTTCCTTAGCCCAATAGATAATATCTTGTTAGGTATCTAATTTTAGGAAAATCTACACACTTAATGATGTTGGGGACATGTGTTTTACTAATAACATTTATGAACTCTATGTATGGCTGTCATTTTTCATGTATTTGTCTTATATATGAATGAAAAATATGTAGAATGGTATGGTTATCCAGCAAATACGAAATTGCTTTGTTCCCTAACCTTTTCTCTTCTCTGTTTTATGGTTTTGTATAGTTTTTATGTTTTATGTTTCTGCTGCCCATTGCATGTCTTAAAAGCTTTCAAGAAAAGTAAGTCACTTGCTGTAAAAACATTATTCATTTTCATCAAACATTTCATGTATGATATATCATAAACACAATGGAAATTCGATACAAATGAGGATGTTAGGGGCATCAAAGAACTAACCAAAGACATATGCATCCAAACTTTTATTTGGCATGTACTCATAAATCAACATCTTTTCCTCCCCTTCAATACAGCAGCCAAGAAGTCTCACAAGATTGCGGTGTTGCAGCTTAGAAATTACTACTACTTCATTCATGAATTCTCCTACACCTTGTCCAGATGTTCGAGAAAGTCTTTTAACTGCAATTTCCTGACCATCTTGCAATTTACCCTATAATATAAAAATGAAGAATATGAAACTATTCACAATGATTTCAGATATAAATAACTTAAACTAAATTTAATGTACCTTGTATACTGGACCAAAACCACCCTGTCCAATCCTGTTGGATGGGTGAAAGTTGTTAGTGGCAGTTACAATCTTTTCAAAACTAAATATTAATAGCTCCTGGAGTTTGACTTGTGACAGATCTCCAAATACATCGTCATTTGTACATTCTACAGGTGCTCTTCCTCTGTTAAATTGGAGGATTCCTTTGAAGATTCCAAATATTAACAAAAGTGTTTCAACGGAAATCTCAACAGGCTACACACAATTTTTTTATTTATATAAATGTAAACCCTAAATTCTTTTGTCTATGATTCTTAAATTTATTAAGTTAATAATTATTAGATTTAGTACAATAAAATTATCTTAGTATTAATAAAAAAATATTTTTTAATATAAATTTTGAACTAATTTATCTTATAATTATTTCTAAGTTACTCTCTCTTTTATTTATTAATTATATATTCTAATGTTATTCGGTTTATAAATCTTTCACTATTTATATAATTATTTATTATTTTTATTTTTAAGGTTAAAATATTTTTTTATTTCCTATAATTTTATTTAATTTTTAGTTTTTATTTTAAAATAAATATTTTTTGTTTCAATATTTATCATTTTTAATCTTTTTTAGTCTTTATAATTTAAGAAATATCTTTTTAGTTCATATACTTGCAACATTTTAATTTCCTATTATTAATGTTTTTTTTTATAATATTATCTCGTTTGTCTTTGACATGATAAAGGTATTATATGTTGATTTATTTTGTTAAGTTACTTAAACTCAAGTCCCTTAACATTATCGTGTGTTTTTGTACTCTCATTTAAGATGCCTATTATTGACACACAATTCTTTTACTCTCACAAGATTGAAAATTATATCATGTCAACAAAAAATAAATAATGTTACAAAAATAAATTAGTGATAGAAACTAAATACATTAAAAAATTGTAAATACCAATATTAAGAAAACTTATCTTAAACTATAAAGACTAAATTCATAGGTTGTGGAATAATCTTCAAATCTTTGTAAATTATTTTTAAAATTAATAATAAATAATAAAATTTATACAATAATAAGTGATAATTAAAAATATATAACATTATTTATGATGCGAAAGAATTCTGAAGAGAAAAATCTATACAAATGAATTAAAAGTGATTATAATAGAGTAAAACAGTAAAAAAAATACATATAAAAAAGTCTATCACAATTATAGATTTTTTAAACAAAATATCAACATGCACGAATTGCCTAAGAGAAGAAAGTAACATTGAAAATGAAAATTACCAAATTGTATAGTGTTTGAATCAAATTTTGGTATTTTATACAAAATAAATTATGTTAAGATTAGTCGTTACTTCTTGTAATAAATATTTTGTAGTTATATTATAATTTAAAAAAAAATAAGAGTAACGACAGAGCCTCGAGATTTCGGAAATGTAAAAAGAAAAACGCGAAATAAGCAAAGAAAGCTGACATCACAATTCACACCGCTCGAGTGTCACTATAAGTACCCAAACCAACCCTTCAGAGTTAAGACACAAAAACAAGATAGATAATTACCGTGACCACCTTCCATGGCGGAATCTTCTGAACCACCCTTGCCGCGGCGCAGACCACCACCCTCCGACGAAGACAGAATCAGCCACCTCCCCGATGTGCTCCTCCTCCAAATCCTCTCCCTGCTCCCCACCAAGCAGGCCGTCATCACCGGCATTCTCTCCAAGCGGTGGCGCCCGCTGTGGCCTGCCGTCTCGCTCCTCGACTTCGACGACGAGTGCTCGCCGGAGCCCCGCCACGGTGACGCCGGTTTCGCGGAGTTCGTCTACTCGGTGCTGCTCCTCCAGGACGCGCCCACGATCGAGCGGTTCCGCCTCCGGTGCCGCAGCCCGAACAGCTGCGTGGGCCACATCCCCACGTGGCTGTGTCACGTGACCCGGCGCAGGGTGGAGCACGTGGAGCTCTCGCTCTCGCTCTCGCGCTACGTGGCGCTCCCGCGGCAGCTCTTCAACTGCGACACCATTTCGGTGATGAAGCTGAACGGCGTGTACTTCAACGTGTTGGCTTTGTTTTCGGTGCGTTTGCCTCTGCTGAGGGTTTTGCACGTGGGGGATAGGGTTCTGTTTGGGTGCCATGACTACGTGGTGAAGCTTCTCGCAGGGTGCCCCATGCTTGAGGACTTGGTGCTTGAATCCACCTATGTAGACGCTTGTGGAACTGATCTTTGCTTTGACGGGAATTTCTTGCTTAATTTGAACCACTTGTCGCGCGCTAAAATTGGGTTTTCTTGGAAGGAGGGGTGCCTCAAGTCCATGCTTCTTGTTTTTCAAGCGCTATGTAATGTTAGGTGCCTCTCGCTTTCACATAACACTGTTGAGGTACTGCACTTCTTTGTCCTACCTTTAATTAAATACCAAGGAGTGGTGTTTATATATGTGGGTGTTTATGGTTTGAATTGAATTCAATATTGATGTTAATTGTTTCTTGCCTGAAAGAACATGATGTTGCATTGAATTTGGTGTTTCTTCTTTTATGAGATGTGTTGTGAAAATTATGAACTAGTTACTGGAGCTCTGGAAAAATTGTTATGTGTGGCAATAGGAATTGCTGTTTCTTGCTCGAAATAACATGGTAGTTTGTTTTGGATGTGGTATGTAATTTAGTTTTAATAGTGAAAAAAAGGGCATGATGTTATGAAGCAGAACACATGAACTAGGAGAGAGAGAAATCACAAGAAGGAGGAGGATAAGTACACACAACTGTTTTGTAGAGTTGCAGGGGACTACACATAGAAAGATAAGGATGTATGGATGTACATGCTAAAAAAACTCAGAGTTACATGTTATACTGATTTGAGGGTTGAAAAATCAGACAGGGAAAGGACAAACAGGAATTGAAGTGATGCAAAACAATGTTACAATGCAAGCTGTGCTCTTTCAAAATGAATTCTAATTCTTAAGTTAGTTTTTGGATACCTAAAAGTCCCTATATTGGTGCTGTTGAGGATGAAGTTATGTTTCAAAGAAGTTAAAATGAGAAAAAATATGGCTCCCTATACAATCATTTGGATGTAGCCATTTATCGAGGTTCTCCATGTCTCAATAGTGAAGTTGATAAGAACCTTGAGATAACTATACCAGAAAAGGTAGCCATCGTAGTTGGAGAGTCCAAGACCTCATAAACCTGCCACTATAATCCCATACTTCCAATGTGAGACTTGAGTTCCATATTTTGCAATTGGAACCTAACATTTCACCATGCTCTGCAGTTCTGGTGCCATGTGGGTTGGTTAGCAGCAGTCCTGGGTAAACATTTCAATTCTAGTGCCTTCACATGGGCTGGTTGTTTGTGTTGAAAATCTATTTTGAATATTTTGTATTTATTGTATAGCAATTTTACAGGGAAGTCATATCTGATTTATCAGAACAAAATCTCTTATTATTATTATTGTATTTATTGTAAATAGCCTATATAAATAAGCTCTGGAGTCATTCAAACACATGGTTTCAGCATCTTATGCCTATGTTTCTCCCTTTCGCTATGGTATCAAAGCCAGATAGAGGAACCTCTAGAAACTGTGCCAACCTGGTGGACCCATTGTCCCCAATGGCAAATATTTTTTTTGCAACCGTGCTTTAATCTGGTTTGCTACGTAAAAAGGTCTGTTCTGTTGACTTTTTGTGTCCTCTTATTTCTGATCCTGGCTTGCTCTAAGTCTACTGATATTTCTAAGAAAGAAGCCCTTCTCTCCAATTTGGTCCTCTCTATTGAGAATTGGATGATTCCAATTATGCCACTTGGGCCTATGACATCATGCTATGGATCAGTGATCAAGGGTATAAGGATCACCTCACCGATACCATTGATTTTGAGGCAACAGTTGATTGTGGAAAATGGGAGAAAATTAATGCCCAGCTACGTAGTATCATGAAGTCTACCCTCCATCTGTCTATCAAACCAATTTTCTGACCTCATGTCAACTGCGAATTTGTTTGATCCAAGGGTTAAGTGCTCTACACCAATTACACAGTCCTCTAACTCTAAGGCAAGTGTCACAACTTGATGACTCTCATAGCCGCATAGAAGTTTGATGGCACTATGTCATCCTATCTTGGTAGAGTTCATGCTTACCCTTCATGACTTAATGAGCTGTTACCCTTCGCCATCTCTAATCTAGCTAAAACTAAGAAGGAACTTGAAAATCACAACACCTTCTTCATGCTCTTTGTGCTTAATGGCTTGCCTCTAGAGTATTCTGCTACCCGTGAGTGACCATATTTTGCACGACCAATTCTGGGGTCACCCATGGTCAGTGACGGACCTTGAGAAATTTTTTTTGGAGGGACCAAATCAAAATCATATACCATGTAATTTAACTCTAATAATTTTGATAATATAATTTCTTAATATGTTATTTAATATTATTATGAAAATAATAATTACCGTATTAATTTATTTTTATGATATTAAAATATATTTTTTACTTTATTAATATTTTTTAAAACAAATTTTAGAGCCTTATCTATTACTTAATCAAAACAATTGAAAATAAATAATTTTTTGTAAAAAAAATCTGTAGTTACTTTGTAAAAAAAATTAACAAGAAAACATGAAATTTTATTATACAAAACAAAAATTGTATCAAACAAATTGAGAAAAATATCTATAATTTTTTTTTTGTAAAAAAATAACCAGAAATCATTATGTTTATTATACAAAACAAAAAGTTGTATGAGAATACGAAGAAATTTTTTATGAATTTTTCGACAAATTTAAGGAAACGGTCACATTTTTTCAAAGTTACATAATTTACCAAAAAATTCTGTAGAAAAGTAGTAAGAAAATATATATAATAAATTAAAAAATCTGTTTGAGACACCAACAAGAAAAAAAAGTGGGTTCAAATCTTATAGCCTATATACCAGAATAGAGATCTAAAAGTTATAGAAAATTTTGTTTGAAAATGCAAAATAAAAGTTTTATTTTATAAAGTTAGTTAATTAATGAAATAAATATTAAATAACGTATAAAAAGTGTTATTAAATCAGTCTTAAGAACTTAGAATGCAATATCAACATAAAATTGTCTATATAAATAATAATTATGATAAAGAAAATGACTAATGATTATCCTTTTTATGCTCTTTCCATGATTGAAAAATTGCAAATTAAATTTCTCTGCATCTTGACTTGGTGACACCTATGCTCGTGCCTCCTAGAGCAATAATCTGGGTTGCTCTCAGGGAGGCACTGCTCAGTGCTCACTCCAAGAATTGTCCCAAGTGTGATCATTGCCATCGTCTATGGCATACCATTGATAATTTCTGGAAATTACTTCCCTCTATGCCTTGCCAACATCCCTTAAATGACTCCAACTGACATACTTCATCCAGCTAATCAACCTCGTGCCACTATAAGTTGATTTTCTCCAATGGTGTGAGAATTGTCAGAATCCAAGTTCTACTGCATCAATTGCACACACTAGTAATTCAGTTATTTACATATTTTAGTCTCCTTCTTTGTCCCTAGGTTCTTGACTTTGGTGCCTCTAGCCCATATTTGGTAGTATATATTTTTTCTCTCCCCTATTTATCTAGTATTACATCAGCTAATGGTTCCCATATCAAATCTAAAGGGATTGACACTACCCATCCCCTCCCTTTCTTGACGTACTTGGTTGTCCTTTTAATTTACTCTCTAACAATCGCTTAACTTAATCTGATAACTGTTTGATTACTTTTATTAAAGACATTGTAAAATTGTGGGATTGGATGATTGGCATTGGATGTGAGTCTCATGGCCTTTATTATCTCTCCGCCACACCTTAAGCATGCTATGCTTTGGATTCCCCTCTTACCATATCTGTTCAGTTGGAATGTCCTTGTAATTTGTGAATTCATTTGGTTGATGTAGCTTCTCAAGGAGCTTCAGTTACGAGACTATGCAGATGGAACTAATATGTGATAATCAAGTAGCTTTGCATATTGCTTTTTACCTGATCTTTCATTTGAGAACCAAGCACTGAGGTAGATTGTCATTTCACCAAGGAATACATTTCATTCAAAAATGACACCACAAATTACTCTCTCTGAGTTTCCCCACATTCTACAATTCTAACATGGTATCATAGAGCTTCTCTCAATCCTCACCAATTGTCATGGATTATTTGCAAAGTTCATTTTCTCTCGATCCTCAACAGTCCACTATTCTCTGCAAAATTCAATCTCTACATCCACACCAATTAACTAAAAGGAATGCTTATTTCTATGCATATTGCTTGAAGCACATCTACAATCAAACAATATTGTCAAATGCTTTCAATCGAACCTTGATATTGCCAATTACAGTCTGGGTAATTTATCCATATTATAGGACTATTACTCTGGATTGGTTAACATGTGGGTCAGACACTCAACCATTCTATATGCTGATGTTCCTAAGGACTTGCTGCCATTCAAAATGTCTTTGAGGTTGGTAAGTCGGATCAATTCCTTGTGGAACTCAGATCAGAGTTTGAAGGTACACAAGCTACTCTATTGAGTTTGAAGTTACACAAACTGAATATCAGGGAATAATCAGCCTTAGTATCAGGAAATAAACTTTCTTATAAATGCTGTCTTTAAACAGAAAGTAGGAAAATACAAAAGATTCTAATGATGAAATTGCGAAATTCTGAGTGATTCCCATACATCAAATTCCATGATCCTGATTGCTTTCCTTAAATATTAACATGATTGGAGGGACAAAGTCAGCATTTAGCTAGGTAGTCTGAAATCCTTTTTGGGAATCTATGAAGCCCGGATACTTAGTACAACATGGGTACAATACGACACATACAGAGATACAACAATTTTTTGAAATTTAGGAGACGATACATCCTATATACGTTACTAAAAAATTATAGGAAATTTTATTTAGATGCGGAATATTGGTAAAGAAATACACATTTTTCATTTCTCATTAATTCATAATTGTGATGATCACAATTCACGAAAGATATTTATGATCATAACAAAAGAAACATATAGAATACAGTTTCTTCTCATACCATAACCAATTTTACTTCACTATATAATAAAAGCTTCTTTGGTAGAACTTAAAACAAATATTACTCAAAATCATCATTACTAAATTATTGTCTAATGATATTTGTATCACTCTCCTCTCCCCCTTACCATCTTTTAGAAGCATAGCTTCTAAGTCTAGTTTATCCAAAGACAATTGTGTCAATTCAAGAAGTCTAGCACCATTAGCAAGTGGATGATGCATATCTCTACTAATGTGCCACAATCTTGCCTCTCCTTTATATACCCTTCATCATAGACAAAAGTTGAAGGTTCAAATACACAAACCAAATATTCTACCCATTTTGGATCTATTTTGTTTTTCTTCAAAGAATGAATAGGCGAGTGTGTACTCTAACTCCTTTCAAGCATGAGAAAGAATATGGTTGCACAAGAAGCTTAAGACAAGCTTTTTGGATACTTCTCAGATACGTATCCAAGAAGTATCTAAGAAAAAAGTTTAAAAAATAAATGAAAAAGGATTGGATACTTTTTGGATACGTATCCAGAAGTATCTGTGGAGTATTGGTATCTGACACGAGTACGACATCGATACTTTTCCATTTTTGAAGTATTTGGGCTTCATAGTTGGGAATAGAGGTGGCTCACTCCAGGCAAAATGCTAGGTCGAAATATCGAATATAGAACACTCACAACATATTTTATGTCTAATGTTAGGTTGTTACCCAAAAGTAACACGCTTTAGGCTTGAGTACATGAGTTGAATGGCACAAGGTTGTTAAAATCTATATTCTACCTACGATTGGGAGGAGGTGGGGATGAAAGATTGCAACTCATGGTCACTTGGATAGTTGGATCGTAAGATCCTTTATCCTTACCTAATACTAATATATAATAGATATAGTTAAAAAACTACATAGATAAAGAAAATAACCTATAAATCACAACATTAAACAACTTCATAATCATAATAATAAGTCATAACAACACAAGATCCAAATTTTAAATAGGCAAATACTCAAATACATAAAATAATGATAATAATGACTCATAATCGAAAATAAAAAGTTCATGAATCTTAGGACTTGTAACTCATAACATAAAACAACATAAATTCATATGAAATCTTTCACTCTAGTCATTTAGGAGAGCAAAGGCAAAGGCAAGCACTGCATGAATTTGGAAACAAGAAACAAAGGTCATATTAGAGGAAGAAAATAACAATAAATAAAGGTCGGAGGAAGAGAAGTTGAGATTTGAAAACAAAACTAACAACAAAATCGAATGAGGAAGAGAATGTACCTGCAAAAGAGGCAAAGATGTTGAGATAGGTTGTCTTGGGTCGCACTTTCAACCAAACAACAGATTGGACAGAGGTGTTCACAAAATCTCGATTTTACTACGATCTCACTGGAGGTAATGACACACATTCTAGCATGGAAATAAGTTTTGGATAGTATAATTGCAGGATCTTATGATTAAGATAACGATTTAAACAACACTAGAATGACATTGTGTGATCCATGTTGTCAACCTTACCTAGTGGGATAAGGCTTTTGTTGTTGTTGTTGAGGAGATTCAATCTAGGAAAGGTATTTTCATATCTCAACAAAAAAAATCTCAAATTTGCTCCATGAGACAGGTAGGACAGTTTTTGAACTTGGTAATACTCCTATAGATTTGGGCCAAAACTTGGGTATTGAAGATGAAGGTGCAATGGTAGATAAGGATATGTATTAGCATTTGGTTGGGAGATTAACTTTCCCAACAGTAGACCCGACATTACATGTGTTGCAAGTTTGGGTAGTCAATTTATGCATAACCTAAGAGGTGTTCATTTATAGGCAGCTCATAGAATTTTGCAGTACCTCAAGGGAACTCCTAAAAGGAATTTTATTTGAAAGGAATGGGAATGTAGCTCTTGAGGATTAGACTGATGCTTATTATGTAGGGTCAATTATTAACTTGAGATTCACTAGATGGCAGTCTACTTTTCTCACAGGAAATCTTGTTATTTGGAGGGGTTAAAAACATAATGTAGTGGCTTGTTCTAGTGTTGAAACTGAGTTTTGGACTTATGAGGCTCTATTTGTGATAATAAGTCAGCAACTTAGTCAGATTCATGTTCAACAAGATCAAACTAAACACATCGAGGTGGACATACATTTTATCATAGAAAGCTCAATTGTGGCATGATATTTACTCCATATGTACCCTCACAAGGACTTGCGTACATTTTCTATGAAAGGACTGAGTTATCTTAATTTTTCTCTCGTTAATTGAATTTGTCATTTATTATTAATGTATTGCTCTTGCCTATAGATTGAAGCATACTATTGGGTGAAACTCTTGCTAGGGGTGGCTTTTTGTGGGCTGGGCTTAGAGAACTTAACCCCTGCTAGCCCACGGGTTAATGATGAGTTGGGTTGGCTAGCCCATCAGGTTCTTTTTTTTGGTTAAACCTAAAAAGTAAAAAAAATAATACCATACATTTTGTTTAGAAATATTATATAAGATTCTTGATAACAGTTTTGTTAAATGGCGGTTATGGCGACGGCAGCCGCATTTCTTATGGCCGTTTGGCCTCTGTATGGCGTGGGTCTGCCATTTTGCATATGGCGGCCATTATGGCGGTAACGGCATGTCGGTTTATAGCGGTCATGGCGCCTATTTTGGACTTTTTTTTTTTTCATTTTTCCGGGTTTGGGCCCGGTTTTTTTTCCGGGTTTGGGCTTTCCATTTTTTCCATTTTCTTGAATAGGTTCGCAGCGAAACCCTAACCCTAATATTTTGAAACATTGCCTCCTCCGTGCAATGTCAATGACGAGCCTCCTCCGATGAGTTTTGCTGCTATCGCTGCCTACGATGCGGCCACCACCGCGCGTGCGATTCTGTTCTGCTTCTTCTCCCTCCGCGTGTGATTCTCTCCTCCCTCCGCAAGCGATTATGCTCTGCTCCTTCTCCCTCTGTGCGCAATTTTGTGCCTTCTCCCTTTGTGTTTTGCTATTTTTTTTACATTGTTTTTTTTTATGGCTATTTAATCCTTTTGTTGGTTAGGAATTTATGTCTTTTTATGATGACTATCACTAGATTATGAATGCCATGAATTTTAGATTGTTATATTGTTGGTTTTAATATATGTGTTTGTTATTTTTTTGTTTTTGCATCATATTTTATATATATATATATATATATATATATATATATATATATATTATTTTTTTGTTCACCATGATGTCCGCCATAGACTGCTATGGCAGTATGCCATTTAAAGGTCCTTGCCGCCATCCGCCATATAACCTTACTGACAACCTTGCTTGATAATATTATGTGCTATTTTTTTGGTTAAACCTAAAAGGTAAAAAAATAAAAACCTGGACATTTTGTTTAGAAATATTATATAAGATTCATGATAATATTATGTGCTACAAGTTGCAAAGGTAATCATTGAGGCTTTAAAGTTGTGATAATAAATAAGACTGATTTTTTTTTCTCTGAATCAAGTTTTTGTTATTATAAAAAAAAAAATCTATTTTCCATTTTTATTATTTATTTGGTGACCAGCCAACTCTGGCCTGCTTTGGGCAGATTGATGGCATAAAAACAGGCCTGCATTGCCGCCCCTAACTCTCACTCAAGCTAATTCAGAAAAATTCTCCTCATTTCTCATTTCTCTCAGTGTTGCTAAATTTTCTATTGATTTTGAGAAATTGAAACAGAAGTTATGCTTTGTTCAGTTAAAATTCTACACGAGCCAAATATAAGAAGACCTGTGCCAACTATTATTGATTTCCTTATTCAAGTTACTTGTCAGTTTAATTTTGGTTTTAACTTCCTAACTGAATGTAATGATTTTTAGGGAAGAGTGCAGTTTTATTTTTTAACTTTCTTTGTTTTTGATTATTTTCCTCCCATAACTTCTTCATGCAGTGTCTGAAGGATACTTCTGCCAGTGATATTCCAGTGTTTGACAATTTAATCCAGCTGGAAATTTCATTTGGAAACTATTCATGGGATTTGTTAGCAAACTTGCTTCAACGTTCCCACAAGCTTGAAGTTCTTAGGATTTATAAGGTTTGCTTAGTTGAAAAGTGAATATTATTTTGTCTGTTATTGACTTGGAGTTGAGAAGATTTGGTATATGTAATTGCAGGAACCACAAAAATATGCAAAGGGACAAGAGTTCAGATGGAACCATCCACCACTTGTTCCTGAATGCCTTTTGTTACATCTCAAAACGTTCTGCTTTAAAGAATATCAAGGAATGGAAACTGAGCTGGATTTTGTAGGTTATATTATGCAAAATGCCAGAGTGTTAGAGGCAATCACAATCCACATATCAATTTCCCTACGTTCAGAGGAAAAACTCCAAATTCGCAGACATTTATCCATACTTCAAAGGAACTATGAAACTTGTCAAATTGTATTCCATTGAATCTCATGTCTTAAAAAGGTATATTTTTCTTTCTTTCTTGCTTTCTTGCTTTCTTTTATATGTGCAGATGATAAAGTTTGAAAATTTTATGAATTTGAAAGCTTTTGTTTTGATCTTTGTTTAGTAGGCCATGCGAGTTATTTCAGAAAAAATTATATTTAAGTTGAAAGCTTTATTCAATTGTATCTGTTTTTATCTCCTTAATTCGGAATCAAGTGATAAAAGTGTCACCACCTTGTGCTCGAATCCAACTTTCTTTTAGAAAAATTGGGTAGCAAAAATTAAACTCGTGACCACTTGGTTGTTGAGGCTCTAATACTTTGTATCGGACTAACTCCCCTGAAAGCTTAAATTATCATGTCAAGGCCTGATTTATTTATATTTAAATTAGAATATTATTTATAATATCTAGATTATCTTATAATATCTCTGGGTATGCTGTGGAGTTAGTTGATCATCTGGTTGATGAGGCAATAATAGGGTCGTCTTTTGAATTCATTATATTTTTTTGAATCTTATCTAACTTGGGTTAGTAGTTGTATTGTATTAGTGGGCTTAGATTGGAAAGTGTAGTTACTCACCTTTGATGGAAGCAAAAGGGGAACTGGTTCAAAGGATAGTAGTTTGAGGGTAATGGTCAATTATTGAAATTAGAAAGCAGATGTAAAAAAGGTTCAATAATCAAGAACCACACCCTTTGTGGTGGAGAAGAAATAAGAATGATGAAGCAAAATTAACAAGAGAAGCCAAGATTGAAAAAGTTAAATTAACAAGAGAAGCCAAGATTGAAAAAGTTACTATGGACGAAGAAGTTGATCCATCAATAAAATGGGAGAAATGTTAGGAAAACAAAGTGAAGAATGTTGGATGTTGCAAGGAAAACAAAGTGAAGATTGTTTTCTAAATAACCCAATAAGAAAGAAGTCAAAGATTCGATCATAGTGTGTGTAGCACTGAAGGCATCGGAATATTGGGATTTGAACTTGCGGGATGCCTTTATCATTAACATGGTTCCACCTATGGATGACAACATGATAATGGGGCATAGGCAAAAGGAATGTACAAAAGGAAAATATTAGGGGTGTAAACAAGACGGGTTGGGTTTAGACTATTTTAATACCCAATCCAATTAAATTTAATCGGGTTGAGCTGGGGTTTGTGAACATTTTTGAATTGACCCAACCCAACCCTATTTGACTATAATCAGGTTAAGTCAAGTCAAGTTATCAAGTTGAGCAATTAAAAAGTAAATATATTTTAAAAAATTAGAACAAATAAAAATAAAAACAAAAGAAAAGATACTTAATTCAAATTTTTAGTTCAAGAAATTATGAATATCCCGAACAAGCAAATATTATGTTACTAATTTTTTTTTTGAATTACATAACAAGTGTAATTTAATTATTCTTCTTGCTCTGTCTTCAATTTTGTCAATTAACTCATTCTTACAATATTTGGTGGAAAAAAGTATAATTGAATATATGCAAATGAGTGTATTATGTGTTATGTGTATTATTTTTAATTCAATTTAATAATTTATTATATGTTGGGTTGGTTTGGATTCACTAGGTAGCAAACTCTTGTCTTATTACCCAACCCAGTTATAATCAGGTAACGTAAAAATTACCCAATCCAACCCGATGACCCAACCCAAGTCACAAAAATGTAATTGGGTTGGTTTAGGTAGGTCATGTTCGTAGATGAGTCATTACCTGCTTACACCCCTAACAGATATTAGGGTCTAAAGTAAATGGTGAGGCAACACATTTGTTGACACAAGGACTATATGTATGATGAATGTGTTTGCCTAACTAACAAGACTCACTAAAGAGATGTAACAATAGAAAGACTAGGCACCAAAAGGCGTGACTTCTCCACACTAGGGTGTTCAAGACACTATTGTGCTAGAGTTGGGGAGGAATGTGAGACACCGGCAATGGAAGTTAGTACAATCCTCCAAACTCATGTCTTGTTTCAGTCTTCCATCTAGTACGTTGGTGCTGAATAAGAATAGAGTTATTTAAAAACAAAACAAAATAGTTAAGGGTGTGGATGAGTTTACTAATCATAATTAAATTAATAGGACAATGAAAGACAAATAAGATAAAATTTAGGGAAAGGCTAGGAAGTAGATTTGTTTGTCTGAGACTGCAGATGGGGATCTGAGAGCCATTTGCAAGAGTTAGAGAATTTGAAAAAGACAATGAAAGAAAATTGTTTGGTTACCAATCATATGATCAAAGACACCAAAGTCAATGATTTATGGTCCAAGAGAAGATTGGGAAATAAAGGCTATAGAAGTATCAGGCCGAGCCACATTAGTAATAGGTGATGTATGTGGGTTGGATGCTCGAAGTTGAAGAAATTCATTATACTCACTAGTGGAGATAGTAACGTATGCGGTTAGGGCAAGAGAGGTAACTTGGGCCACAATCACTAACTTTGATTAGTCTTAAACCTTGGTGCAACATTCAACTTAATGAAAGTGGTTTCAATAATAGCAATGAGGACGACAGTGGCCACCACAACCCTTACTTAGAGTGGAAGAATTGCCAAGAGAAATGGAGTGCACAAAAACATGTGAAGTGAAGAGACGTAACAATTGTTCATGGACCATGTCATAGGTAGGCACCTTTGGAATTGATAAAATCTATTTGTTGACAACAATATCAGGTGAGAGATCGACAAGAGCCAACACCATAAAGAACTGGGTGCATTGTTTGTGAAACATCTTTGCATCACTGGTAAAGGTTATCATTGTGGCATAATCAACAATTAAATGGTCGAGCTTACAAAGATAGGTCTACTTTTTCTAACTTTGTTTTCATTGAAGTGGTGACATCACTGAAGAGACGATGGACATTGTTGAATACATTTTTTTGGGTTTGGTTCACTCCTCATAATAGGTAGGGAAGACCTAATAATGGGGTTGAAGATTCATTAGAGAACCATAAGACATTGCATAAGGAGGCATTTACTTGTTGCCAACAAAATGATCTTGGAGGGGAATATCATTGGCTTGGGTGGTCGACACGTCCTTTGCCTTGGAACCACAACTGAGCAACGGTGGCCCAAGTGTTGTAGTTGGCTGTATTGATTAATTTTTCACAAGGAATTAGTGAGACAATGGTAAAGGTCATGACGTAGCTGGAATTGAATAAGGTACTGTTAGCAGCCATGGAAAACTACGACAACCCATGGAGCTCTGCAGTGGTTTGCAATACTGTTCATGCGAAAAAATAAGATGTTGCTGAGAGAAAAACCTAAATTTTTTATACCATAAAGGATTTATAGAAACTGTGTTAATTGATCATACATGTCAAGTTTATTTATATTCAATAGTGCTAAAATTAAGGAAACAAATTAACTGTTGTAGTCCCTAATTTTCAGCTATACAAGTTTTCATATCTTCCTATTTACATATGATAAAATCATAAAAATTCATCTCTTTAGCATAATCATTTATATAATTAACTGACTTATTCTTATAAATACTTTACAGAGAAGGAAAACAAAGTCCCAGCAATTTCAAGTGTAAAAATCATTATCTTTTAGAGATGTTGTGCAACAATTTGTAGTCATCAAGATTGACAGAGCCTATTTTGATATGAAGAACATTTTGTTTCAAGGGCTTCAGCTTTTGTTTTGGTTTTTAATACTTTTTGGTCTCTTTCTTATTTATTGACTTATTGTGATTACCTCTAGTTGGTTTAGTAGGAGGTGAACACATGGCAGGCTAAAACTCACCATTATATGTTGTAACATGAAATACTTGTCCCATCTGAAGCAGTCATCTAACACGCTGCTTTGAGTGAAAAATCTATAACCAGATGCTATTTTGTTTGTGTATATACTTAAAAAGTTCATAGCAGCTTTCTATCGTGAAAGTATTTGATTACTTTGCAATATTGTGTAAAAGCCTGCACAACAGTTGATCATGTTACAATAAGTTTTGTGGTTAAGTTCTGACATTTTAATATCGTAACGGTAACGATATTGTTCAAATTTGTTTGAGAAATATTTGATGTTTTTTCCTTATTTCTTAGATTATTTTAGAGTATTCTAGATGATCTATTAGGATTTTTTTCTTTTATGATTTGTTTCTTTATTTAATTAGGATATTTTTAATTATAGATCTATCTTATCATGTAAATAAGAATATTATCTTCTATATTTATTCGTATCTATTGTATTAAGCTTATATAAAACGGATTCTGGCCTGTAGTCAAGACACTGTAGGAGAGTATATGGGTCGATGTCCGCAAATCTGCCTGCATAGCTTGCTACTACCCGCACATATTAAAGCTCATTCGCATGATTGTAACAAATTTTTTGGTACCCTAATTTTTGGACTCTCCTTTTGTGTGTCTACTTTTCTTCCTTTATGATTGTGGTACTACCTCATGTCACATTCTTTCGGCTAGATTCCTTCCTCGTCCAGTTTTCCACTTCGATCTTTTTTTTTTTTTATAAGCAAGAGAGATTAAAATTAAAAGGGAGTACAAGGGGTACTCCAACCCGTTACAAGAAAAACAAAAATAAAATATTAAAAAATCAAAGTCGAAACTATGAGAAACATAAATTTGGGATATGATACCAGTTAAAGTAACTAAACGAACATCCAGGGACAGAACTAGTGATCCACTTCTATGAACGCAGTTTAATGTTGTCTAACACTTGCTTGCAATCCGAAACACCTTGCTAAAATGTGATCACATTTCGATGCATAGTGACCAGATAACAGAAACCCAAACTACTAGAAAACACTGAGAACGTTTTTTTATAAAAACCAAGATTTGTCCAATATAAATAAAAAGAAGTTCAAGAATTAGGAATGACCACCGCCACCTCCAACCAATTGGTCACAGCTAACCAGGTATTAAACGCTATAGGGCACATTAGAAAAAGATGAATTTATGTAAAAAAAATGTTTGAATTTCTGTTTAATTCAAAACAAGACACAAACTTAACCCAGAGGAGACACGATGCAGAGGACTAGTGGTGGATCCAAAAATTTTAAATAATGAAGATAATATTTATTCATATATTTGTAGTACTAAAAATTTTAGATATAATTTTTAAAAGTATAAATATATATATTATAATTTAGTAGGTTTGAATCTAACTTTCTTTAAAAATATATATTCTAAGTATAATTTATTTATCTATCATGGACATTTTTTTAAATATTTGGTTAGAACTATAATATCAAAGACTTACTTTAAAATAATTTAACACTATTAAAAGTATAAAAATAAATATTTTAAATTTTATAAAAATTAAGTTTAATTTATTTATGATATAAACATGTTTTTAATATCTAATATATATTTTTATATGATAATTTATTTTAAAATATATCTTATAATAACAATTCTAAA